ACAGTAGGATAATCTTTATCGTGGCGGCTCGAGAGGACGCGAATAAATAGTAAAGACAGTATGGGTGCAGGTTCAGTCGTGGTAGCCCTTGTCAGAGCAGACTGTTCATCTTACAGAGGAGAACGCTGAGTCCCTTGGGCTAGTGATTGTGAGGTGGAGTATATGAGCATTCCGGAGCTGCCTCTCACCGCCGCGGGCCTTGCGGTGTCTGACTATCGATAAGATCGACACGAACGCATTGGGACAACCACTACTCTCATTAATGGATACGCCTCGTCAACAACATATAATTTCTTTTAATGATGAAAACGATACAACGTTATCTTTGTGAGCAAGGTCCATTTGGTGTAGGGCGGTTAACTTATCTTAGCTTGTCTTTAGCTTAGCTTAGCATAAAGACTGGGAGCGGGGGGAAACAGCTAGCCTGGCTCTGTCTAAAGATTAAACAAAACAAGATTAAAAATGTTTAGTTTTTAGAGAGAAAGCTTAAGAGACACTAGGCAGGCAATTGTTTTTACCTTTAGACAGAAGCAGGCTGGTTGTTTCCCCCTGTATTCCAGTGTTTATGCTAAGCTAAGTTAAACTGCCTCCTGGATGTAGCTTCATATTTACCACACAGATATGAGAGTGGTACGAAGTCCTAATCTAACCCTCTGCAAGAGGGGGAAAAAAGCATAATTTATCAAAGTGTTAAACTATCTTTAAGCGTTGATATAATAGTCAGCACTTATTCAGTCTCATGTGCATTGGCAAAATATCAGTGTTTTCATTCAGCCTCCTTTACATTAACAGTATAAACAAGCTATACCAGTAGTGCTTTCTTCAGCTTTTTTACATGTGACATGTTGTAGGGAAAAATCCTTGAGAAACTAGCGACAGGCTTTAGAAAAGGATTTCTGATAAAATTTGGGGACACGTTCCCACAGAGCCTGATAAATCCAAAGAGAGCTGGATGCGTGAGCGTTCAGGACAGCAGATGTTTGACTCTCGTTTCCAACAGCTGAGTCTGCACACTTGATTTTATTTTAAACACCACCATCTGGTTACGATAGACTCAGTCAATCTCTCCCTCTCCTCCTCCTTGCTGTCCCCCCCCTCTGTCTATCTGTCTACTCTAAATATTACCACCTGCATTACATGATCAGCTAGACACACCATTTCTTTCTCTTCTCCTCTGTGTCTCTCTCCCTCGTTTTCTGTCTCAATGTTATATCCTGTTTTCCTCTTCCTGTTCTATCTTTTTGTTTTCTACTTGTCTCCTTGTCTCTCCTTTCTGTCTTTGTTTCCATCACCACCACAGCTACTCCCTGCACCCCAGCTGCCTCACACAGACAGATATGCACAACACATGCTCAGCTGACACTCTCTGCCAAGTGTGTTAAGTGTGTGTGTGTGTGTTGTGTGTGTGTGTGTGTGTGTGTGGTGTGTGTGTGTGTGTGTGTGTGTGAGAGAGAGAGACGAGAGAGAAGAGAGAGAGAAAGAGGGGAGAGGGGAGAGCAAGAGGAGCTATGTGGGTGTTGCTTTGCGCTGGAGTTGTCGAAACTGAGTTCATTTTAAAAGTTAGCTGCTTTATTTTAAAGTTTTTTGCGCACTTTTATTTTTTGGGTGTACACACATTGACTGTTTGTGGTCAAGAACCCTTCGACCATAGTGGACGTACGGTAATCAAGCAACATGTGCACGATTGATTTTTGTTTGAGTATTTTGTGTTAGACATATGCTTGAGTGTGTTTTCTCTATTGTTTTCAATGGTTTATTTTACACTGTTTGTTATGTGTATTGTTACAGAGACTGATGACTATGCAGAGATAGTTGATGAAGAGGACACATACACCATTGCCCTCCAGTAAAGTAACTTTATTCCATCTCGTCTTTCTGCCTCATCTACCAACGTAAAATATTTGTACTGAAGAATTTGGTTTCTGTTGCACTGGCACAAGAGAACTATACAGTACTGTTTCATGTTATTCTTCTGTCAAACGCTTACGCTCCCAAACAAACGTTAATTTCGTTCTGCTAATCTACTAAAATGAGTGCGGTGTGAATCTTGTCCAAGAAACACACTCACATGAGAGTAAGTGAGATTGCATGTAAATTCACATTTGTTGAGGTTAGCAGCTAATCAAAGTCAGGCTAGTTTCACTGTCTTATATAAACAGTGGAGACACTGGCTGGAGAGGTCACAGAGGCATACAACTCTATGCATGTGGTTCAGACATATTACATCTGCTCAAATCATTCACATGTTAATCAAAAGCCTGACTCTCTTGGTAAGTTTGACTCTAGCCTTGTTAGATGGTGCTTAGCCCTCTGGTTCCAAACTTTTTAAGTAGATGTTTTTGGTCCAGTGCAGTTTAACTCGTGTGGTTTGATTACGGGGCCGACTTTGAAATGGACTGTGTTCTTCTTTCTTCCCACAGTCTTTTTCTATCTTTCGCTGCCTTGCTATATTTGTCCAGCTTATTTCTATGTCTTCTTTGCCTTTTTTTTTTTTTTTTTGTTCCTAAGCAGACTTCCTCTAAGCAGACTTATGACATATTTTCCTGCTCTCGTGACTGAGTTTGTTTGTGGTTCATGTCATCCCGTCTGCTCCATGTAGCTGTATAACTGTAATGGCTCAAAAGCAAACCGAGTCTTTAATAATTCTGTGGCAGCCATTCAGTTAGCTTCAGTCATTAACTTATTTATTAACTAAACATTTGTGAAAGAATTGAACGGGTCACTTGTCTTTGTCTGTATACACTTGTGTGTGTGTGTGTGTGTGTGTGTGTGTGTGTGTGTGTGTGTGTGTGTGTGTGTTTTCTGAGCTATTTTTCAATCTTAAAGCAGCTGTCTGGCTCTCCCCTCTCTTCATCTCTCTTTCTTCCTCTTTCTCCCATCGCCAACACAGTGAGCTATGAGTAGTTGAAGGTAAAACTGCGCTGTCTCTGTCTCCTTCTGTCATAGCAAAATGCCTTGATATTTTAAGTTTTTCTTTTGTGTTTTTCTGTGCCGGGTACTTATCTAAATTATGGGAAGAAATTTGCGTTATTATTCTGCCCCATGAAAAACTTGCTGCAAGTTATTTTGTTCATTTAATCCAAAATACTACCCATTGATTGACATGAGTAACTCAATCGGTGATGTGGCTTTTTTAAATAGTTGGGAACCAGTATAGGAGGTTTTCTTTTACCCTTAGTACCTGGCAAGGAAAAAATACAAAGACTCAAGGTATCTAATATCCAGTTTGTTGTTGACATGTGGTCGTTGATGTTTTTGTAGACTGCAGTTTGTTCGGGTCTAGTGTTGGAATTGAAATGGAGAGCCAATCCATAAACAGTGCAAGATGTTATTTTATTAGTAGTTAAATCAGAATTGAAGACAAGCTAAACCTTTCCACGATATATTTGCATTGTGTACTGGCTTGGTTCTCATTTCACCATCTTGTTGTTGTGACATTTTTTATTTCTTTATTGTGATTTAGTATTGTGGTCATGTGTTTTTCTTTTCTTGTTTTTCCTCTGTGGGTTCTTTTCCTTTGAAGCAGTCATTAATTCCCTGAAAGTGAATTGCAGTATGGATTAATTGCAGTAAATCTCCCTGTAAGGAATGTGTTTGGGTTATGCTGTTGGCATTTGTGACTGTACTGTGTTTTATCTGCTGGTTGAGTCAAGTAGCCTGACTTTGTTGAAGCCCAACAGAGAAGTAAACTTCTACAGGATAAGTTCATGATTCTCAGTGTCCAGCATAAACTTCTTGAACTCAGTTTTAGTCCATTTTTACTCGGTTTGTTTGGCAACTGGGATTGATACACCTCTGTAGAAATGCTTCATGACCTTCTCAAAAAGGCAGAAAATATTGATAACACATAAATG